ACACAGGAGGTATCAGGAACAGGGAGGGATGGCGACAGTGATGTTTTTAAAGAAATCCTTTGAAGGTGATGCTGCTTTTTACAAAGCATCGTTTTAAAGCACATGGCTTTTTTTTTTTCTTCTTCTTTTTTCTATTAGTGGTAGTAATATATAGAATGTATTACATATCTGTCACAGATGTAGTGGGGGAAGTGTGATGACCGAGGTACAGGAAACTACTAATCTTGCCATCTTGCTTTAGAAGTGTTGTAGCTTGCCTATTAAATTCCGAGCATCCTGTTTGTTACTACTGTAAAACACTATTTTTTAATACAGAAGAAGCTCCCTACTATGCACTTCAAAGAAATTAAAAATCACTGAGTAAGTATTTATTACCAATGCTGCAGGTACATTTGATGAACTCGATAAGGCTTTGTAAGCCTGACTGGCAATAATGCATGGTACTGTTCTTGAAATGTCTAATGGCTTGAAATTCTGCTTCGTGTGAAGGTGGGTACTATCGTGATTTCCTCCTCTTCTATTCCTGTATTCCTTTCTGGATTTAAATAATAATAATTAATGACACTTAGTCATTGTTTTGATTGTAGTCACACACACTTCTCCGTTTTTCCTTAGGAAGAGTTCCGGTGAGAAACCCCAATGTAAGGAGCAGGGTGATTGTCACTTTTTGACACTCAGGAGCTTTGACACCCATGGTACATGCCTTGGCCTGGTCTCTGCTTATTTCACCTAGGGCCTGGGTGGCCAGTCCTGTTCTTGTGTTTGTAAAATGTTCTGAGTTTTTTCAGTGGGTTATACTTGCTCTGTCAAACTTCATGAATTCAAATCCTCTAATGTGTTTAAGTTTACTTCTCACTGTGGAAACAGGGACTTTGCAGTTTAAAAAAAGCTATGAAAGAGATGCTCCTCCCCTCCAACTTTATTTGCAGTGGGATCTTTCCTAGGAGGGTTGTGAAAAGTTGAGGGCTTCCAAGTAGACGCTGTAAACCTGCCCCACTTACATTTATCACAGTGAAGGCAAAATCATTCTTCAGAAGTCCTGTAAATTATCTTTAAAAAAAGAGAACCAGAATTTGCCCCCCTTTTAAATAGGTAGGTAGATTTTTTTCCCCCCTTTAATCTCAAGGTATGTTTTTCTTTTTAGTGTTTTAGTTTTCCAAAGCAAACTGTAAACTCAATGTGCATTCTTCAGCTCTGGTGTTTGTGCCTCCTCCCTGTGTGAGAGAGTGAGGAGTTCTTATCTCATTCGTAGGGAAGAGGTGTTACAGATCCTCACACATGACTTTTCCCCAGGGCACCTTGTTACCATTTACCCAGGACAGAGCTAAGTTTAGATGGTGAGATAAAAATCATCTGTAGTTTTATCAGCCCACAATGTAAAAACCATGGTTAAAAGTCTTTAGGCTGGCAACCCGCCATAAGCTGCCCATGTGATTAAAATTTGAAATCCCTTCTGTATATTTTAATTTGCAGTCTTAATAGACATGTACCTTTCCATCGGGTCCTACTCATTTCTGTTGGCCTGGGCCACCAGATTTTGATGTTGCCAGAACTTGCTAAATTTAAAGGTGAACAGCCTTCATTTTGTTGCTTCCACAAGTACTCATCAGTAATCTAAAACATTGCTTCCAAATAGAACTATTTATTTCTACAGCCTCCCGCCCTCTGCTTGTATGATCTGTTCATTTTCTTTTCATTTGCTTTTCCTTTTCCATACTTACTATAATTTTATTCATTGAAAACCCAATACATATTTTGTTTCAAAATATTTGAAACAAAAAGCACAGGTGTTGAGCTTTTATTAGAACATATGAATGTGTAAAGCACATGTATTAATGCAGCCATCCCCTTTCAGGTGGGAAGAGAGTAAACCAATCGCTTTATTTTTTTATTCATTCTTAGTATAGAGAGAATATACCTTTCCTAAAATCATATACCTGTTTGAAGCTTTAAGAGAAATGTTTTCAATAACTATTTTGTTTTCCCAAAGATGCTTGCTATTTTTGTGTAACTGTGTGCACCTCCTTTTCCCATAGAACCTTTTTTTTTTCTTTTTTTTTGAGAAGCAAATGTTTTCTTAAATGATGCATGTTTTAAGACTTGATTCAAAATGCCACTGTGCTGTCCTTGAATTGCCAATGATTTTTACAAATATCTAGTTTTTACTACTTTTATATATTTTACTTTCAAAATGAAGAGCTGAGCCTAGTAATACAAAGGGTTGTTCTGGTTTTGAACTTTTTCTTTTAGTTTGTTTTCATAGTAGTTTTTTAGTTTGGGTTTTGTTTGTTTTTTTGTTTTACTACATTTATGTCTGATATATATATACAGCTTTGGAGACAATCAAGTAACAACTGAAAATGTGAAAGTAACCGTTTTTTACAAAATGTCCTTGAATTTTTATTTTTTGCTTGAAATATGTAAAAGACTTAAGTCACTGTGGTTTATTGGTTTAAACTCTTTTCCTATTAATACAAGTGTAAAAAAAGAGTCAGACAGTGGTGCAGCCAGTGTAGCCATTACATGTTTTGTAAAATTACACTGACTTCGCTGTTACTTGATCTTAGGAACCAGCACAGTTAGAGGTAAGATATTGTGAATGCTGACTTACACTTTATTAAAAGCTATAAATCTAAATAGATCCTATTGTATGCAGGGTCTAGTCCAGTTATTTAAGTTCATGTTTCACTATTTGCACTTTGCATTGAACAATGGGTTTAGTTTGCTGATGAAATAGTTCGAGTAGAGAATTTATACAGGAATTGAAATTATGACCTTGTGTAGGTACTTGCCCTTCCTCCCACAGCAGGGAGCAGAAAATGAGCTACTTAAATGTGAACCAGCTCTAATTGTATGGAAAGTGATAGAGCTTTAAGGTACTTGCCTTGGCTCCTCATTGTCACCTGGAGAGCAGGACTGCTATAAAAGCACCATGTCAGGTGATAGGATTAAAAAGAACAGATCGTGCTTTCCAGACCTTTTTAAGAGAAATTAATGAACAAATTACCTATTAGCTTTGCCTTTCAATTCTAAACTTGAAGTCCCTAAACTGCAAAATTTAAAAAGTTGGATGGTTATTAAAGTACTTTTTAGGTCAAGTGTGGCACCAATACTCATTTAGTCACACTAACTCGTGACTAGTTTCTTTCTCTCTCTCTCTTCCCCTCTCCCTCTCTCCCCCCCCCCCCCCCCTTTTTTTTTTTTTTTTTTTTGGCATTGGGAAGGGTGGAAACAAAACACATATTGAAATACATATTGGAAACAAAAAAGGCTTAAGTGTCAGTAAAATTCTCCCAGAATGTACTTTTCTTACCTCGGCATGTACTGTAGTCACTCAGTATTTGTATATGTTGCTAGAATTTAGATTGTATAAATAGTGAGATTTTAATGTGTTCATGTGTTTTTAATAAATTGTATATATGTGTCTTGCTCAGATTTTTTTTTTTTTTTTGTGGGGGGGCTTAACTAAAACCACCTTGAGGTTTATAGCCTTTTCTTATACTACACAAAATGCCAGATTCCTCAATTTGAACATCAGTCAGAACATTTAATGGCCAATGTTATACTATTCACAGTAACATTAGGGAATGCCACCATTGGTTTTGACTTTGATCTTTACTGTAGCCACAGTATCCTTTTTGAAACCGGAGTTACTTCCCATCAAACTCAACTCCCGCAGCCCCACGGCAGTCTCTGGCTGTGCAGTGGCAGGGAAAGGTCACTGAACAGGGCGACTTCAGCCTGGCTCCTGCCTATTCCCCCTCAACTTTATTAGAAGAATCAGATGAAATTGGTCCTGCGCAAACGTGTGCTATTAGGAGGACATCATACTGTGAAAGAAAAAAACCACATGCTGACCTGACAAGCTCAGGGAAGGCCTGCGTGGCAGTCTTGCAAACCCAGAGACCTAAGATAACCACAAAAGATGGTTTAAAAATTAAATATCTAACAGGTTGTAGCAGGTAGTCATGTCCCAGATGTTTTCCCAGACAAAGATCAACTTTGATCTTTTTACTGAGCCGGTTTGCCTTTTTGCCTCTAAGATAACATATCTGTGAGATGTCTGGGTAACTTGTAACTTCCCTTTTTCCAGAGCCCCAGGGGAACAACCAAATGTGGTGGGCACCAGGGCAGATGCCTCAAATTCCTTCGTTACCATGTTAATTGTTCCTGCACTCACCTGAGTACCCGTCCATCATTTTACTTCTTATCCAATCCCAGGAGTTTCCCACCGCTTTGCTTTCTCCTGCCTCCTTTCTCCATCACCAATGAATTTCATGTAACCCACCTATGTCCCTCCTTTGATTTCGGTGTATAAATGTAACCCGCCATCCTTCGGAGCATTATCTCAATCCATTGAGGTTCTGCTTCCCGGCATATGTCAACAGTTTTGGCTCAAATAAACTCATAAAAAAATTCTTTACAGGTTTCAATGTTTGTTTGTTTTTCATTAACAATCCATATGTAATGTCTAATCTGGATGAAATCGACTACTGGTTTCCTCCCCCGCGCCTGCTTTCCAAGTACCTTGTTTATTCCTGTTTCTGGTCTACTCTTCCACCCTTTCTACACTTTCTTTGGAGAGGCAGGTTGGTTGTCAGTAACATCCATGTCTCCCAGTGATAATTATTCAAAAGATGGTAATTCTTGCCCGGCCAGCGTAGCTCAGTGGTTGAGCACGGGCCTATGGATCCAAGAGGTCGAAGGTTTGATTCCCTGTCAGGACACATGCCCAGGTTGCAGGCTGAGGTCCCAATAGGAGGCCACCAATCAATGGTTCTCATTGATGTTTCTATCTACCTCTCCCTTCCTCTCTGAAATCAATAAAAATATATATATATTTTTAATTAATTCTTCAACTCATACCTCTTCTGATACTTTCTATTCCATCATTCTTACACCTTCTGTTCTCTTCCTTTATCCTTCACCATGTACTCTATCCCACCACAGCCCATAGAAGATAGTTACATTCATTAAACTGGAAAGGGAGACCAGCTCACCACAGTTGTAGGAACGAGTTTGTTTGCATCATAGGATTCTTCACTGGCGTACCCTAGATTGTGAGGTGAGCTTTCCATGTAAGAGGAGAGATGAACATACCATCTAAATCCAAGAACACCTTGACACTAGTAAGGATTTATTTACTTGTGTAATAAATTTTTCATCTTTCTTAATTTACTTCAAATAGTAGTTTTAAAAGTTAATGAATTAAACCAGACAAAACATAAACTATAAGAATTTTCTCCTTGAGCATTTCTTACTCAGCTTTCTTTGTATGAACTTTTTAAAAATTTCTTCAACATAATGCAGTCATCAGACTTTAGTAATTATACTCTTTGGTTATTTACTCATCTAGATAAACTTAAAAACAAAAAATACTATCTTCATTCTACCTAATTACTCATCATAATCGTGGTTTAGTTAATTGCAAAGGGGGAGCCTAATTATGCCAGTATGACCTTAGATTTCTATAACCGTCCACACTGCGGTATTCAGAGCTGGTTTAAACTTCCAATCAGATTCCTTAAAGACACTAAACAAGTCAGCCGATTATAGACCTGGCGTGCTTCCAATTTGCCAAATCAAGTCACAACCACGTGCCAATTCCCCACCATTTTATAGTAGCCAAATATGTCATCTTATATTCAGATTTGTTGCAGTCAACTTAAATCCCCTTATTAGGAAGTCACATCCTTTCAAAAGTTTAAAATGAAAAAACGGAAAATATTTTTAAAAACACAATGCAATTACAACTTTACCCTGACATGTTAACTCAGTATATCTTGGTTTTCATAAATTATATTTACAGAAATTAAGCTGGTGATTATGAAATCACCAGGCAGCAACAGACTTAATATACATAATTTCTTGACAAGTACACCCAACTTTTTTTTAAAATAAACTATAAATTGCCAGTATAAAAATAAAACTAATACTGTCAGCATTATCTTCTCTGTCCGTAGGGTCAATCTTGAGTCAAATTGATTACAAAGTTCTTTTCTATAATGTCCTTCAAAAAGAGCTGCTCTGCAGTCACGTTGTGATATGCATTCTAAAAGATAAAAATAAACTAAAATCACCACTTACCCCAATCGCAACAACAGCAATAGAATCTAGAAATTCTGAATGAAAACTTCAAGTATAACAAGTGTCATGGACTTCCGTTAACCTTTCTAATTTATTTGTCTTTGCTCATTTTTGTGCCAGAGTCTTTGCTCATTTTTGTGCCAGAGCTTTCCCTAAAGCCCACTCTTTCCACTCAACCCAGCAGGTAGGTAAGAGGTTCCGTCACATCATCATCTGGTCTGCTGAATCATGTGGAAGAAACCAAAATTGTAAATCCAAACAGGTTGATTGTTGTTACAAATGCATCACCTGGAACTCAAGTTCTAAAAAAATGATTCTATTATGTTGACGGGCATCCTAATTTTAGGAAGGTGTATTAGCATGTTGTTCTGAAGATGACTAATAATGCCAAATGTGCTGCAGGAGAGATTAGGGCTGAGGGGAAGCGAGCCTGAAGTCTGTCCCAACAGCTAACTCTGCAACTACTCAAGTCTCTGCCACACGTTGTGGGGAAGACACAAGTCAGTATCATGATCTACCCTGACATAGCACTGGGTGATGATGATTTCCGGGTGGGGGGGGACTGGGATTTCATGGGATACAGCCATATACATTATGGAAAATCATGTTTCAATATTAAAGATAATGTTTTAATCCTACCACTTGTGCTGTGCCACTAATCTAAGATAGAATTCGGAAAATAGAAAGTTCCTCCCCAGTCAATTAAATTAAAAATCTGAAGGATCCTGTCTGCTGCCACTGATCCTTAATTCAAGAGAGGCATGAGCTAGTGTCAAAGATGACAACCTTTCTGACCATAAAGTTTATTTCATGGGGTTAAAATGTTATAGACCTTGTCTACTTAACTGGAAAAAAAAAATACATGAAAATTATTATGACATGGCAATGCTTTTAGGTGAATATGCAATATTTCCAATAGGCTATGTGTATATTTAAGTTGTGCAAATAGGACACAGTACCTAAGATAAGGCTTGATCCCTGTGTGGGTTGTCAGTACTTGACAATAACTGGGATTCTCCCAAGGGTCTGAGGCCTACAAATTGGGAATTGCTGTAGTTGAGAACGCTGGACTTGGTTTTGGCTTTTGATAGCTCTGTAACCCCTATCAAGCCCTCAATCTCTCAAAAGTTCTTTGCCAGGTAAAATGATAGGGTGAGAAGAGAGAAAAACCAACGATTGTAACAAAGTATCTGTATTACCTTGCTCATCAAGGACATGGTGGCGTTCCCATAGTAGTGCAAAGGACTCTTGAGGTCAGAAAAGTTGTATCTGAAGCCAGCGAGATGGACTTCGTGACATATGTGGAAGGCCAAGGTGATGGCAATAATTCCTGTCGTCGGGTGTTTGGGTTTCTGGGGAAAACGAAATTTTTTCTCTGAAAATCCAAATGAGGTATTTGTTCCCAAGGCATATATGGGAGGCCTAACCTTATGAATCTTGTCATTCAACTAGTTCTAGGAAAAGGCTAACTTTAACCAAGTAACTGCAGTGATAAACTGTACTACCGTTTCCCCGAAAATAAGACAGTGTCTTATATTAATTTTTGCTCCCAAACATGCGCTAGGTCTTATTTTCAGGGGATGTCTTATTTTTCCATGAAGAATACAGTACACATTTATTGTTAAATGAAAATAAAGGAAATTTATAACCTGTATACGGTACGGTAGTTGTCAACACAAACCAGACAAACTGTGAATCCTACAGTATCAAGAATTTACTCATTTATTCAATGACAATCATGTCACCATCTTCTGGAACATCATCATAACAATCCAATTCCTGAATTTCCTGATGAATTTCTTGTGACTCCATTTCTTTCAGAATCAGTGGACCAAATCTCTCATGTTTAGCCTAAGGGGGCCTTATTTTCGGGGGCATGCCTTATATTTCACTCAGAAGAAAACCTGTAAGTAGGTCTTATTTTCGGAGGATGTCTTATTTTCGGGGAAACATGGTAGCAAGTACCTGACTGGACAACAAGGATTCCAGATATACACAGAGTGTTGTCATCAGCCTCAACTGGATCCCTATTCATTTACAAACAGAAATTCTACATCCCCTTCACATGTGCAACTACTAAGGGAAGTGCTGTCTCAGCTATTTGACAGGAGGATCTTGGCATTTAAAGTTGTTATGCTCAGTAGGATGGCCTTCAAAGGAATAAACAAAATATGTCAACGTTTTATCAACAATTCAAGATTTCCTTCGGTTAAATATTTTTCAGATCCCACAGACATTATATTTGATTATGGTTTTGAGGAAAAGAAAAACATTAAAAATCAAGTAAACAGCAGAAGGCAAAGAAAGCCTGACAAACTTTGGTGTAAGTTTTCTTGCCCCGGCACTATTGTGAACAGATGCTGAAATAGGAAGTTAATGGTTGGGTTAAAACCTAGGAGTCACCCAGCTCACTGATCCATTACTGTTTGGGGCTCTTGTACCTCTTAATGCAATATACTTCCTCTTACCACTCCTTAGAGTACTTCATGGTTATAATCATTTCCTTACGGAGACAGACAATTCTCCTGCAGCTGTCACCCACAGAACCTATATTGTTGCCTGACAATCCTAATCCTGGATAAAGCCACACTCAAGCAGCAGAAAGAGCGAGAGAAAACATCTTACTTGCCTGATTGCAAGACATACTTGCCTGGTTGCATGTTACATTTATGACCAAAGTTTTCCCGAATAAATATCCATGACAATTGTATACCTCTCTATGCTTAAACAGCCCTAGCCTCCTTCCTACTTCAACAATCGAACCCTCATTTTTCTAAGAAAACGAGCAATCGCACAAAACCTACATCTTCCCAACTCCAAATCTACCTTCATCTTTACCCAGCTTTTCAGGATTCACTTCTCTTACAGGGACCGGATGGCCTGTTTCTCCCTACAGCCAACTTCTCATGAGGGCACTATACCACATCTTTCAACTAGTTTGCTTCTACAGTTACCCATTGTCTGCCCTCAGCATCAATATTTTCTTTTACTGAATCATTTCCTTCACCATAAAAACATCTTAAAAAAAAAAAAAATTATCCTTGATCTTACGTTCCAATCATTTCTCTGCTTCCTTTTCTAGCAAAACCTTGTTACAGATTTGCCTCTGCTGCTATGTACATGTTTTATTTAATCCATATCAAACAGGTTTTCTTCCTTTCTTATTCTTCACTCATATGACCTCCATGTTTCCAGAACCAGGGTTTATTGTTTATGCTCAGCCTCTAAACGGCATCTGACACCATGTCCTACCAGAAATTTAACAGATTACAACTAGTCCCAGTACCATCTCTAAGTAAAACCAAGGTCTTCCTCTGCTTTTGGAGTTAGGAGGCCACCTAAAATAGAGATAATGCCTTGGCTGGTATGGCTCAGTTGGTGGTGTCCTGTGTGTGCATCAAAAGGATGCTGGTTCGAGTCCCAGTCAGGGCACACACAGGGGTTAAAGGTTTAACCCCCCAGTAGGGGGCATGCAGGAGGCATCCAATCAAAGTTTTGCTCTCATATCAATGTTTCTCCCTCTCCCTTTCTCTCTAAAAATCAATAATTTAAGAAGAAAAAAATTTTAAAGAAAAGGGTTAAACCTGATCATACATCTCTTAGGAAAATTATCTTGCCTTTTCACCTCAGAATTACTAAGAATCTGCTTTTTTCTCAATACTAAGAAATAGGGTTTAAACATAAGATATTTATGGTTTTTTGACTTGGGAATTCACTTTCAAGCAACTATCCTACAGAAATCATATAAGTGTGCAGAAAATCCCTTAAAAAGCACATGTATTTTCATGTCACTTATGAAAGAAAAAGCTGGATGCAAACCTAAATGTTCTAAACAGGAGAATTGTTAATTAGGTGGAGGGGAAAATAGCAGAATATTATCTATTGGACGGGCAAAATGTTATGTTTTTAAATGCATAGTAAAGTCTAGAAGGATATAAAGCAAAAATTCTTGTGAGATAATGTGAGTTATTGAGGAAGGAGAAATATGTCCTTTTAAAAATATTTCTTAGTAATTTCATTTTTAGCCTGTAATTCTTTAGAATTTTTTTATTGTGCTTAAAGAAAAGATACATGAGGTGTGTTTCTTGGGCCTTTCCCTGATTACAAAAGTAACTTGATTACACAAGTTACCCAGGCTTCAAATGGAAAGCATCTCTGCCACTGGACTGATCTAGTCATTATTGTTTTCTAGGTGTTATAGACAAACAGGCCTGCAAAAGTCACAGTCAAGAGTTTTGAGATTAGTTGAGATTTCTCTTAACTAAAGAGTTGGGAGTTTTAAGAACTGTCAATATTGCTGTAACTACCATTTGCTGAGAATTCAGTGCCTGTATCTCCTGTGACTGCAGAAGTATTTCTGGGCTACCTTACTGTCCTTGCCTTTCCTCTGGTTTCCCTGCGGGGTTTCTATAGCAGATTGCTTGAGACCACTCCTTTTAGCTGAAAGCCATGCGTTGTCCTGACACTAGTCCTACTGCTCAGAACAGCCTGTTCCTCAGTCCTCTTCCCTCCCCCTTGACACCCCTCCTCTCCCCACCTCCTGCAGAACACGGGAGAGTTGCAAGAGATGAACCACCTGGGCATGCAGATGGAGACCCCAGAAAGGCCCCTGCAAGGGCAGAAAGAAGCTTCACTAAAGATTCTTGTTCTTGCTAACTGAAAAACATGAAGGTAATATCCACAGGTTCCTAATCTCACTGACCCAGGCGAGACCCCTAAGGTTCCCCTATTCTACTCCAGCAGGATCCTTAGTTTGAAAATACCAAGGAAAATACATACCTGATTTTTGGGAAACACTTTTGGGAAATTAAGCAGTTCATAAGCTGCTGTTCTGATAATGAAAGGATCTAAGATTCTGATTTGATATGGTTTATAGATCAGGTTTAAGGCTGGTTTTTTCCAAAAACCATTAGTGTTCTGAAATAAAGCAAGAATACAGAAAATAAAACACTGTGGTTGTCTTTTGTTACAGAAAAAAAAATAATAATAAGGTAATCAGAAGGGAGATCAGTTTTGCCGACTTACTATGTTGCCACCCGTCAACAATTCCCACAACCACTTTAAATCGTGCGGCTTAAAAGCTATGAGAATCGCTGTGGTGTTAGGATCATTGTGTTTGGGATCTGAAAAAACAGATTCTGGATAAAAAAGTCGGAAGGTTGTCCTTCTCCCAACTTCCTCTTCGTGTCCTAAAACGGGACCATTATTCATCCTGTGGACAGAAAAACACAAGATATGTAGACCAAGCGCAGTCTGAACCATTTCCACCAGTTCCCAGAGGTGTCTGTCCGACAAACATTTGCCATGTGGCCTTTGCTCTTATGGCACAGGGCAATCAATCAATCTTCTACACATAAGGGCCAAGGAAATAATTCCCTTTCATAGATCAGCTGCTTGATCAAAGCAGAAACTTGCATTTGTATTTTAAAATTTGTTTGGCATTACTGGTAATTCAGTCTTACCTCCAGGGAAACTAAGGCAAATAAAAATGGGAACATAACCACAATAGTAGGGTTAAAACTCAGAAGGAGGTATCCCTGGTTCCTTTATCCCCATCTCTGTTCATATCTAATACACTAACAAATCCTGATAACACTACCTCTAAAACACGTTCCGTCTATCCAACCTTTTACCTCCTCTGCCCAGACCACCGTGATCCAAGTCCCCATCGTTTACCCGAACACAGCAGCCTGCCTGGCCTCTTCATTTCCACCCTTGTCCCTCATACTCCACTGTTCAGGCCTTTGCCAGGCTCTTAAAGATAACCAAGTCAAATTGCTTTCCTGCTTAAAAATCTTCAAACGTTTCCTGCCGTACTTAAAGTAAGATCTAAGCCCTCATCCTAGTTTACAAAGTCTAAGCCCAGCTTACATAGCCTGCTCCTTGCCCACCTCTTGAGCTTCCGATGGCACCCCTCTTTCCCAGCCGGCAGCCCTTCCACCTCAGTGGTTTTCTTGCTACTTCTCTCAAACCCAGATCACAGCCTCCCGAGGGACTGTGGTAAACATTCTCTGCCTGCATTGCCTTTCCCCGAGCTTCATGGGGCTGCATGGACTGTGCACTCAGTCCAGCTTAGAGGTCTCCTCCTCAGGGTGCTCATCCATCTTAAAGTAGCCACCCAATCCTTCTCTATCATCTATTTTTAATTGTCTCTACGGCATTTATTATTATATTTCCTGATTCAATTACGTTTTTCTTCCTCTCATTAGATTGTACGCTCCACAGAGAAAGAGAGCCTTGTGTATTTACTGCTGTGTCCCCTGGGGCCAGAACTGCCTGGCATATGAAGGGGATTTAATGAGCATGTGCTAAGTGAATGACCTGAAGTCTTGAGCCAACAACCGAGAGACAAGGTTGTGTAATGTACTTAGAAATATCAAAGCAGCTCCTCCGCCTTTTAAAACACAGCTGTTCTAAAGCAGGAAGCCACGTTTTGAAACAATTCCAGTTTAGCAAGTGAGAAATATATTTACCTTATTATTACATCATAGGAGTCAATTCTTTCTCCTAACGTCTTGTTCTTCAAAACTCCTCCATTACCAACCACCACACACCTTTTACACGGCACACTGTTGGGCAGACAAGGGGGAGATTGAGCCATCTGTGACAGAATGAGTGATTCCCACACCCATTCATACTTTCAGAAACCCAAAGCCACATTGTACTTGTTACACAAGTAGAAAAAGAGCCAATTATGACTTATATAGGTCTAAGGATGTAACACAAAGGTACAAGACTCGAGAAGAACATTGCCTAAGAAGTGCATTGTCATCAGCAGCTATTAACCCTTATCAGCCCATACACATACAAGTTCCCTCATTTGAATCTCATAACCACCCACAGAGATAAGTAAGCTTAACAGTTCCATTTAACAAATAAAGAAGTTCAGAAAACTAACATTTCAAAGTCACACTCCAAAGAGAGAACTTTGGATGGAATTTGGATACAGGTCTTTGAACTATAGAAACCTCCTTAGACACATATTTTGCATGTGATGTGAGTGTATTTGTTACCTATATATACATTTTTTGTCCTTTATTTTTTTCTGTGTCCCTGGGGTTTTTCTTTATTAAGGTATTACATATGTGTCATTATCCTCCCATTGCTCCCCATCTCCCCACTCATGTCCTCACCCCCCTAGTTTCTGTGTCCATTGGTTAGGCCTATATGTATGCACACAAGTCCTTTGGTTAATCTCTCCCCCTTCCCCCCATCCTCTCCTGCCTTCCCTCTGAGGTTTGACAGTCTGATTGATGCTTCTCTGTCTCTTGATCTGTTTTTGTTCATCAGTTTATGTTGTTCATTATATTCCACAAAGAGTGAGATCATGTGATATTTATCTTTCTCTGACTGGCTTATTTTGCTTAGCATAATGCTCTCCAGGTCCATCCTTGCTGTTGCAAATGGTAGGAATTACTTCCTTTTTACGGCAGCATAGTATTCCATTGTGTAGATGTGCCACAGGTTTTTAATCCACTCATCTGCAGATGGTCACTATGTTTTACCTGAGATTCTAGCTCTTATTACTGCTATATCTTGTAAATGTGGAGACAGACAGATGGAATCAGATGAGGGCAGTGCAACTTCCTTGTACCTGCCCATGCTCACTTAAATTCCAAACATGTACTGGTTGTTGGAGCTTAACCAATACAAACTAAAAATTCACTCTCTGTTCCTGGTGAAGGGCTGAAAAGCAGGACATGAAGTGGGACTTCTATTGCTGGCTGGGATCGGCCGAGGACCACGTATTGTGTACCGTCAGCTTTCCACAAATAGCCTGTCCCACCTTTCTCCTCCACGCTGCCCACCGCCCAGACAGACCTGGAGAAATGACAAAACAGATCGAGCCCTTCTCCTCTAGGGGACAAAACTACGGAGGGGAAGACTGGTGAGACTGCCTTCATGACATGGAAGTATAGAGAAAAAATTTCTTCTAAGAACTAGGAAATCAGCAGACCAGATGAACTGGTATCTGCCAGGCCCTTAGGAAATTCATGAGAGCAAAACTGCACAAATGCTTAGAGTAGTTAACTGCAGAGAATGCAGAAGCACAGGAACCACTGCAGAGAGCCAAGCATTGGCCCTGTCAGGTTAAGAAGAAACAATACACATTCCTATATGCGTGAGATTACCTTTTTGACTGAGAATTTATTTAGCTCATCTAGTTTATGTTTCTAACGCTCCATATTTTAAGACTATTTTTACATGTTTTAATTTGAAACTCTTAGCTCCCAAAGTTAGAGTCATGTCCAAATCAGTGTCTACTTTGTCACAAAAACAAGTATTGCGGCGTTTCACAGGCGGGGAGGTCTGATGGGCGTGCCCAACAGGCTCGAGGACCTGCCCCACACCTCCACCTGGGCATGCCACAATGCATTCTAGGGATGCTTCTTCTAGAACTGTCTGCCTTTAACTGTGAAAGTAACGCCTCCAGGTGCTTTTCTATGCACGCGTGACATTCATCCTAATTCCAGGAAGGCAACCTCATGTGCAGCAGGTGGAGGAGCTGGGAGCCCCGGTAAAGGGAGCGCCTCCTTTTCCAGGCGAATGGCCGTCGTCCTCCCCAGGTCCTCCCCATGAATGCTCTGCACGGGGCAGTTCCCATACACAGGCTAACTGGCCTTTCCTTCCGTAACTTCCGGGTCAGCTTAATGCAAATTGGAGGCTGAATTTTATTTTATTTTTTTAAAAATAAAGTTTGATTCTTTTACAGAGAGGAAGGGAGAGGGAGAGAGACTTAGAGACATCCATCAGCGGAAACTGGTTTGGCTCAGTGGATAGAGTCGGCCTGAGGACTGAAAGTTCCCAGGTTCGATTCAGGTCAAGGACATGTACCTCGGTTGCAGGCACATCCCCAGTAGGGGGTGTGCAAGAGGCAGCTGATCGATGATTCTTCTCTCATGGATGTTTCTACCTCTATCCCTCTCCCTTCCTCTTTGTAAAAAATCAATAAAACATTTTTTTTTTAAAAGAAAGAAAAACATTGATCAGCTGCCTCCTTTACACTCCTTACTGGGTATGTGCCAGCAATCAAGACACATGACCTTGACCGGAATCAAACCTGGGATCCTTGAGTCCGCAGACCGACGCTCTACCCACTAAGCCAAACCAGTCAGGGCTGGAGGCTGAATTTTAAAGCTGGCTCCACCACCCCAGTGGAATGCTGAGCAGACAGGCCGACGGGGAGGAAGTGGCTGGGAATGGACAGGATGGAAATGACAGCTCTCTTCCTGACAGATAACATCCAGTGGGGTGGAGGCGGCTTCTCTACAATGATGGTCACTAGACTAGTTCTGTCCTTTGAATGAAGGCTGGAGGCCACTTCCCTGTCAAAGGCCACCTAAGGCCAGGTGGCCTGGGGCTACCCTTTGGCGGTCTCTTTTTAAAAATTGATTTTAGAGAGAGAGGAAAAGGAAATAGGGGGAGAGAGAGAGGAAGAGAGAGAGAAAGAGAGAAGTTGCCTTCTGTATGTGCCTGACCAGGGATCGCACCCCCAATGTAGGTATGTGCCCTGACCTGGAAACAAACCTGAGGACCTTTTGTGATACATGATGGTGCTCCAGCCAACCGAGCCACCGACCAGGGCTGGCATTAACGGCTTCTCTGCAGCTGGTGTTCACAGTGCCGCCAAGACTAGGAAACGTGTGAGATGCCCGTGCATGGTTTGAACCACACACTTTGCAGCTCACTGCTTCCCTCTCCCCGGCAGATGCCCATATACGACTAAAGGAGTGGTTCGTCCTCTGCTCGGCTTCATCCAGGTGGTCCAGGCTCCCGTTCTTCCTAATTCCTGGGGTGTGAAGCCATAGCGTGCAGTGTCCCTGGAGTGACTGTGTAACTTCACCACATTTAATTAGCACGGCCTTCATGCACAAATAGCCGCAGTGAACCTGAGTCTCTAGGGGCCAGAATGGTGTCACTTCTGTTTCTGTATTCTCCGACCTAAGGCATCCGACTCACAGGCTGTGCGGTTAGAAACCGGTTTGGTTGTTACATTCAGTGTGGCGGTCACTGTCCGACTTTTGAGACTGGAGAAACAGATAGCGGTTCCTCCTTTCCCCATCCTGGAAGCAGGGAGGGAGAAGCACAGGCCCCAAACCGCTCATCTGGAAAGCAAACTCACTCCAGGGGGCCTGGCCCTGCTAATGGAAAACCCGGGAAGCTGCTGATAGTGCAATGTCAGAGGTTACACTCCCTCAGGGGAGAGGCCGATCCAGGAGAGGCACCACCTCACGCAGAGGGAGACGGCAGGAGAGAAAGCGAACTTGAATTGCCCATTTCACATGATCTGTGGCCTTTATTTTTTGACTGCTTCCTGGTATTCATTTTCCCCTTCAGCAGCATCATATGATGATTCGCATACATCACTCCACCTTCAACAACCTGTGGCAGTTCCCACTGCCTCGTGCCTTGCTACCGAGCCCTGCTTTCATGAGCCTGCCAATGGTTGGTCTAGAGGTGGCCCTGGGACCCGTCCCTGGGCGGTCAGACATAAGGAAGTCTACTGGATGCTCTGGAAAAGATTTTACTCCCAGCAAGAGAATGACTGAGCAGAACCCCTTCCTTTTATCCACCCTTTCCTTTCTGCTCAGAAAACACTGTGTAATGACATCAAGTTAGAGCAGCTGCTGTTTCTTGCAACGAACAGGAAAAGGCAGGGAGTGCCAGAGATCCTGCCACCTCCCAACAGTTACCCATATCTGACTAAAGAAGTGCCCACACCCACAGCTGCTCCACAGAGGTGCAGGCTGTCCGCAGTCCAGCTGTACAATGCACCATTCAGGCGCTGCACGTGTGAACTGGTGTCCCAGGAGCCCGCAGCCCAGTCTGTGCAGCCCTAAGCAGCCACTCCCTTCCCCTCCTTACCACCCGCCCCACCTCAGGCCAGAGGAACCACAAGCCTGCAGATCCAGGAACCACATACCTATGCGATGTGGGAGTTAAAGGTCTGCTTTGTTTTCATCACATTTACTCAGGATGATAGTCACGTGCAGCCCAAAGATCCCAAAACACTGTGCAGTGCCCTGCGGGTAGAGCCCTGACTGCTACCGTGTTTCCCCGAAAATAAGACATCCTCCGAAAATAAGACCTAGCGCATGGAAAGATAAGACATCCCCTGAAAATAAGACCTAGTGCAACTTTGGGGGGAAAAAATAATATAAGACACTGTCTTATTTTCGGGGAAACAGGGTAGTTGTGCTCCCCCTCACAGCATCCCCGGGGCCATGGCCCCGTGACCTCCTCACCTTTCACCCCAGGCTGCCCTTTTGTGAGTCACGGAGGCCTTCAATGTTGTTATTCCCTTGCACGGGACCATTTTCTCCAGCACGTGTGTGGGATGGCTACAGTTCTGCAACAGCTGGCTGCGTCATTGCCGCGCCCTTCACCACACACACTCCCCCTGCTGCTAGAGATTCCCTCCTCTCTCACGCCCCTCCCGGCTGCAAGTGCCGCCATGACAAGAAACCCTGCGCACCAGCAGGGTGTCCGGAGTTGGATGCAGGTGTGGATGCCTCTAACAGAGCCCGGCTCTTTTTAATATATATTAAATACCCAATAGGTCGTTTCTTTT